GACAATTAATGCACATGCATTTTCAAACTTAATGTTTATAAGATAGAATATAAAAAAAAATGCTAAGTACATTAGTAGTAAAGACTGAAGTACACATGAATTGAAAAATTCTGTATTTTCTAACAATTTTACTTTTATTATTTTTTTATGAGGTTTTTTTCTCTTAATAAAAGATTTGGATAAAAAGTCACATAGTTTAAATAATATATTGTGATCTTCATTTGTCATAATCCATAAAAATTTTTGATTGTTGGACAGAGTGTTGAAATTTTTATAATTGTCGCTTAAAAAGTTGAACAAAACTTTCCTTTCTTCATTATATAAAAAACAATTTGTAAGGAAATGGATTTCATCTTCAATACAATTTGAATTACAAAGAGTACATATCCGTCGACCTCTTTCTAGAGGGATCTTTTTCCCATTAATATCTTTTGTATATTCATATCTACCACGTTCAATTCTCAATTCATGTGCACTTATTCTGAATTTACACAGTATTTTCCTCTGTTCAAAAGACTTTAAAGACAAATATTTCTCAATGGCAAAGGTATTCTTCAACAAAAAAATATGTATCAAGTTTTCCATGTATTTGACCCTCATCATGTAATTTAAGCCAGTATTGGTAAAAATGCTTTTTGATAAGTTTTTTCAGTAGTCCTTTAAATGTGGTCATATTTAACTGTTTACATACAAGTAAATTAAGGTCTAGTTTGTTACATAAAAATTTAACAGTGTCATACCAGTTATTGATGTCAGACTGAGTAAGATTTTTGCACTCATTATATGCACAATGTAATAAAGATGATTCTGACATATTTTCTTAAGAAATAAACAACAATGTTAAAAAGTTCTCTGGGAAATGAACTTGGTTGGTCACGTGATCAAATCCTGTGAAGCCCGAAGGGCTTCTCAGAAGATTTGATCACGTACCAACCAAGTTCATTTCCCAGTGAACTTTTTAACATTGTTGTTTATTACTTTTATTTACATTTGAGACGAATATTCTGAATAGAACTGCATTTATTACACGAACGGCCCGCCGTATTGCTATGTTGTGACGCGCAATGACCTAGAAGTTGTTTGGTCTTGAGAGTTCGCCTCGCTCCAACATTTGAATACTTACATTGATGTTTAGCAGTCCAGTTCAGGAAATATCTGTTCATAATGAAAAAACAATGATCGCTACTGGGAATTATCTTACTATTATTGTACGAGTTCTTTATATATAAAGTCAAAAGCGGTGCTATCGTCTTCAGTTTACATACCTTCAAAGGAATTTCGGGTTAAAAAGTTAAGCGTGATTTTAGGCTAATTAGAAACATTCTTCACACCGAAGAAAGATGTAACGATCATTTGTTGAACGAAAAAAAAATATATGTTTCAATAATTTTATCTTTTTCATCGCTTTGACTGTTCAGAAGTTCCGAAACCAGTGTCACTGTGACAGAAATATGTAGACAAGATATCGTCTCGCTGTGTGATTCGGTCACGCCATGACCTCTGACCCCCAAATAAGTTCATACAGAATTGAACATATTTTCTCTTCTATAGGTTCATCTAAGAAAAATATTTGCAAATGTAAATAATAATCTATATGCCAATAAGATAGTAAACCAATGATGATTGAACAAAACATGTATATAGTTCTGAACATTGAAATCTATTTCATTATAATAATAAATTGAATTTATATCTGGATCTTTATGTCCTCTTGTTTTAATTAATTAAAATATTAGAATTTACCATTGGATCTACACCAACGTACAATGTATATATTCATTTCCTAGAAGCTTCAGACGGCATGATTTTCTCAGTGATTAATGAATATGGATGAACAGATGAACGAATGCGATTTTGATATATACGTTATAGACTAGTTTGAGGTTGCATGCTGGACATGAACATCTTTATTTTAATATTGCAGAGGAAATTTGTTTCCTCTACATGTATAAGATATTCTCTAGCATTTTCGACACTTGCATCGGCCATGTAAACATTGAATCATCGGTGCATATATTGTGTAAACATTTTGTTGTATAGGCCTAATGTTTTATGCGTCGTATTTTGTCAAAAATTGAAACTGAACACACTTCTCCTGACAGAAAGGCTTCTCTTTGCAAGTTTTCACAAATCTAGCAAAAATAATTTTTAAAATAATAATTTTTGAAAATTCACGAGGACATGAACAAAGACGCTTCACGCCGGCATATTTTATGAAGCGCATAAGCACGAAGCGACGCAAAATGTCAACAATTAGTTTCTAGTTTTGACGTCAAGTTTGGAGTTATGACGTCACAATGGAGATATTCTTGCTTCCTCATACATGTACTCATGTACCTAGTTCATGAGAAAATGATGCGAAGAATATGAAGGAAAAATATTTGTAAATGTAAATATTAAATAGCAAATAACTATTTTTTGCCAAATAAGATATTAGGATTTTTATATATTTATTGCAGGTACAAGTTCTATGAAATAACCCCTATTCATTCAATATGTTCAGACAGGTGTCTACCCCCCCCCCCCCTTCCAGGTCACAGTGCAGAAACCTCGATGTTTGTTCAGCGCATGAACAATTTGCCCCTTGGACCACTGTGTACAGGTTTAAGATATATATATTTACATTGATATAATAACGGAATGAATGATTTGGAGACGAGAGAATAAAAAAAAAAATGTTCATGTTGTTATTTTTTTGAGTACATGATTTTTTTTTTCCTTTTGTTATTCTGATTTACATATAAAATGAGCAACAAACGCAAGATTTTCAGGAAAAAAAGTATTTATTAATCTATACATATTGTTTTTTTCTTTAGTCTTTTTTACAGACTAAACATAATTAAGGTTCAGCAGCAAACCATCATGCGAAAATTTATGAAAACTTATAATATTTTAGGAAAGGGGGGGGGGGTGGGGGGGGGTGAAATGTATGTTGCTTCAAAATGAATGTGATGACCTTACTTGATATTTTAACCATAAGTCACTTATAATAATTTGTACAAAATACATGTATATAAGTTTTTGGAAAATTCATTGGTTAATTTTTTGTCAAGACGTTGAGAACTGCTCTTGAAGTGAAAATATTACTGCAAATTTACAATGAATACTCCCCAAATCAGCGGTGGTATTACTACATCTATCATTATTATATAGTCTATATTTATAGTCCCTATATAATCTATACAAACGCAAACAGTTCATAACACTACATATTCACTGGTTTTGAAGCCGTATTCACCGGAGGGTTGGTGCGCGTGCAGCGGCATTGTGACGTCACAATCAACACCTCAAACAACGTTGTAAACAATGGTTGCAACGGCCGGAGCCAGCTGTATATCTGAGCAGGAAAAACAATTATAGCCAAGCCTATCACAGGATTATTTTCTAAACAGTTCGATGTCTTACAAACAGCAAAGGGAAAACACGGAAGCTATAACTTGTAATCTGGACATTTATTTTATTTTTCAGAACTTCGTTAATGAAAGTGGTATCATCATACAGCCTTCAATGTCTTATTTACTCAAATTCGGACTATATAATAAAATAATTATGGACTCCTTCGGTGGTGAATATGGTTTGTTATTCACCAGGAAAATATCAATATTGACCTCGGCTTCGCCTCGGTCAATATTGATATTTTTTTGGTGAATAACAAACCATATTCACCACCGAAAGAGTCCATAATTGTATAATAGTTTCCGATACAATTTTTATTTTCATTGAATATAAAGCATATTATTTAATATCTAGACTAGTGGAATGTTTTTTTTTTTTTTTTGTTTCAATTTTGATACCTGTATGGGATATATAAAATTTCACCTCATAAATTTCAAAATATTGAAAAACTGCGGTTACCATGACAACCATATCATCCTTATTACCCGGTTGACCATGGTTGAAATTTTCATATTATGATACCATTACCGTAAGGCAAATTATGTGTAAAAATGAGAAAAATTCATTGAGCGGATTTTTTTCACGGACCCTTGCAATCGCTTCCTAAATATTGTAACGTCAAACGGATTGATACGTTTTTGACGTAAGTTTGTGACGTAGGCAACACAGGTTATTTCTTTTATCCAATCAAATGACGCGTTACAATCAAAATTAAATTATTTACCGTTTATACTTAAACAATAAATCAGCATGCATTACCAGGGGTTTTAATTAAATGGATATCAAATGATGAAACTTCTTCTGTTTTTAGTAATACATATATATATATATATATATATATATATATATATATATATATATATATATATATATATATTTAAGAAATAATGTATCATTTTTAAACATCTATCGGGATATAAATACGGGTTGGTCACGAGATCAAATTCCATAAAGCCCGAAGGGCTTTATGGTAAATTTGATCTCGTACCAACCCGTATTTATATCCGATAGATGTTTAAAAATTATACATTATTACTTATATTTACATTTATGACTTATTCATATTTTATATTTTCCTGATTATAATCTTTTACGCGTGAAATGTTTTATTTTTCAAACTCAACGGCACGTATTTGATCCGTTGTTTGCGCGTCTGTCCTTTATGACGTCACTGAGAAATTACGTCGAACGTTTATGACGCGAGGAACCCGTGTTTATACAGATATAGATACGCCTTGCTTTCAGTAGTGTTATATAAGGGAAAACATTTGCAAATGTAAATATATATATATATATATATATATATATATATATATATTAAAAAAAATTAACAAATGTATAATTTTATAGCTGAAGTTTCCTCAAAATTTGATTGAGAGGAGGTATACAGCATCATAAGAGTCGCAAATCTATTGCAACTCTTAAATTACAGAAAATAAGAATATCTTTTAGTTCAAAACTACGTTGTGTATGTCCCTAAATAAGGGTATTCTTCATAGAACGGTTTTGTTTTATTTCTACCAATTTAATGAATCAAACTTTGAAATATTATTTCGGTTTGTTCTACAGCGTATTTATTTTTTATCTATTATTATCAGGAACCAGTACGATGGTGATGAATGCAAGGAAACTAGAGGGTATTAAATTGGATTTTTTAAGTTAAAAAATACAATGTATATTGCGTGTATATTATATTATAATAAACTTGTTTGTAAAGCGTCTTAAGACTGTAAATAAAAGGGCTAATGCTTAATTATCTTTGCTAATTTCTTCGTGTTTTCATTGTGAGAGAAAAAATATAACTAAAGATTTTTAACAATTATGTCTTTTTTTTATGATTTATTCTTTGTTGTGATAAAATTTTTGCTCTTGAAGATGCTGAAAGCAATTCTTTTAAGAAGTTATTAGAATGCGAAGAAGAGGCCAAGAACCAAGGTACATGTACGCATTTTAACATTTTCAAAACTTTTAGGGAAATGTAAACCGTGTCAAAAAGAATACACTCTCTTCCTTTAGTGATTTTATTGTTTCAGTTTATGAATCAGAAAACAAAGTTGCAGGTGATTTATTAAAAGAAAAAAATAATTAGGATGTTTCACGTTTATATATTTTTTTGTTTGTTTTGTTTGTTTGTTTTTTGTTTGTTTGTTTGTTTGTTTTTTTTTTTTTGATGTGCTTAAATTTAACTGTTTTAGAAATGGAGAAAAACAATTTATTGAACATATTACTGGAATGCGAAAAAGAGAAAAACAACTTAAAGAACGATTTGGAGAAAGCGAAAAACGAGCTGGAGAAGGCACAAAAACCCGGTGAGTATGACTTTTTGTTTAAGTACACAAGAAGAACATCTGGAAAAAAGCATATAGATTGTAGCTTAATTTAATTGCATTTTTTCTATTTAAGAACAAAGGACCATAATAATTTGCGAGGGAGATGATGGAGAAATCCGCTGTGAAAACCCAAAAACGTTAAAAATTGAGTCGGCCATTTTTGGGCGCTCCGAATCTCAGGCTGATGTGTGTCCTTTTTCTGGTACTAGTATCGATAACACTAACTGCAGATTGGATGTACTTTACCGGCTATCAGACCTATGTGATGACAAAACCCGCTGTCCTATCCCGTCTACAAAATCTGAATTCGGTGATGTAGATCCTTGTCCTGGGACTTATAAATATGTTGAAGTTACTTATACGTGTGCTTAAATTGAAGTTAGTTATATGTGTGCTTAAGTTGAAGTTACATATAAGTTATACATGTGCTTAAATTGAAGTTACATATAAGTTATACATGTGCTTAAGTTGAAGTTATCTATATGTTTACTTAAGTTGAAGTTAGTTATACGTGTGATTAAGTTGGAGTTAGTTATATGTGTACTTAAGTTGAAGTTACTTTTATGTGTGCTTAAGTTGAAGTTTCTTATACGTGTGCTTAAGTTGAAGTTAGTTATATGTGTGCTTTATTTGAAGTTACTTATACGCGTACTTAAGTTGAAGTTACTTATACGTTTGCTTAAAATGAAGATACTTATTTACAAGTAGTGTATCTCAGAAAAGGAGATGAAGTATTTTGTTTCACATTTTCAAACAAATATCTGAACTATGACTACAAATTTGTATTCTTTTAATTTCATCTTGAGAAACAAACGTAACACTGACAATAAGTTAAGGTCATTAGTACCAACAATCCAGAGAAAAATAGCATTTATTAAATATCTTCTTCATTTTGCCGTTTTTAGGTTTATTTCATGGTAAAATAAGATTAAATTTGTATTTATTTCAGGGGATTTCACTTTTTCACGTTTTTGTATTGAATTTCAATATTATAGATATTAAAGTATAGATTTGGAGAGTATAAAAAAAGTAAGACTGGTTTGAAAAAGGAATTTTTGTTAAATATGTGTTTTAGCAATAATACGTTTTAGCAATAATAAAGCGAGTGTAAACTGTTTTTAAGGTTTCCATTTTAATTTGCTTATTATTTATTCAAAATGAAACTGACATCAGGAACCTATATTTAATTGATTCATAGGTCCATGCTGAAATTACAGGTTAACAGCAACGACTTAATGCACTTCTTTTCTTGGTAGGAGGGTGTCTTGTCTAGTGATTCTAAATTGTCTAGAGACTCTAAATTACGGAATCCGGATAGGACCATGTAGTTCAGTATTGCATCATCGCACTATCAAGGTTTGGGTCAATATTGCAATGACGCGATAATGCAGTGATGCGAGTCATGCGACCCAGCAGTCGATGCTGGATAGTGTGAAAGTGAACTATGTGGTATCATGATAGGGCCATTTACTTCACTATCGCACCATCGAGCATCGACTAATGGGTTGATGGCGCGATAATGCGATGACGCAACGGTGCGATAGCGCGCTGACAATGATGCGATGGCGCGACAATACGATGATGATGGTGTGATAGCACGATGTAGCGATAGTTATCATCGCTTCATAGTTATCGTACTACGCATCGTCGTCATTGCACCATCGTGTCATCGTTATCGCACAATCGCGCTATCGCTTCATCGTGCCATCGCATCATCGTCATTGCTGTGTCGCGCCAACGCATTATCGTCATCGCGCTATCGCACCGTTGCTTCATCGTCATCGCACCGTTGCTTCATCGTCATTGCATTATCGCATCATCGCATGCACTATCGACCCAAATCTCGATGGTGCGAAGATGCGATAGTGAACTACACGGTCCTATCCGGATTCCATAATTAATGTGGCCATATCCGAATTCTATAATTTATGTCTCGCTCCAGTTATGGAACTTTTCACCTACTAATCTACTTATAATATTTTGTGATTTTACCCCATAACAAATTTAGTATGAAACATTTCAGTCTTGATGTCACTTAAGGTCAGACGACACGTTACTCAATAACATATAATTTTCCCCAAGAATTTGTCATTGAAATATTGCTAATTTAATAAAATTCCTCACCAAAAATTAAGGTACCTTAACAGGCATTTGTGCAAGATATTAAAGGATGGTATTTCCTATAAAATCCTATTAGAAATCGCTTGTACTTCGAAGGTTGGCTAAATTATCGTATTGTGTGAAAAAACAACAGTGATATTGTTTTTAATTAAAATTATTATAATTATGATTCGATGATTAAATGATACAAATTCATTAAGCAATCCATGCCATCTTACTTTTTACAGTAATTTGCTGAAGCCCTAGCCAAATGCAATGAGAGAAACTGGGTTAAACCAGTTGCATTAATTTGGAATTCTTCAATTTAATCCCAGATGCAATAAATATTAAACAGCAATTAATTCCAATAACGTTTATTGATGAAACATGCAACAATTGAGTGTGACAATAAACATGATAAATGTCACACTCTGTTTATACATTATACATGTTATAAGATGTAAATACTCCGGCGGAACCCAGGGAAACGCCTGCCTACCTACCTACCGGGATGATCACCACCGGTATTTCCATGGCAACCCCCTCCCCCGGGGGGTATAAATGCTATATAGGTAAAACCTGAATATGTACTTGTGTCGTTATTTTGATAATTATTATACTTCTACATTTATTCTATACATATCTAAAAATTACAATATCGTGGAAAATTTATATACGATATGCCATATATAATAAAAGTTGAAGATGTCGGTGTAATATGTCATCTACATGCATTTCTTGGCTATCAAAAATAAGGATCGACGAGGCAGAATATGGAGGGTAATCGTGTTCAAAAATCCAGACTTTTAAACTTGTAAATCCGAACATGCAACCGTATCAGTGTCGTAGTCTAGATATATATGTAAGTTAAGGTAATTCCGACATATATTAGCATGTAGTTTCGAACATAGAACTGTGTTGACTAGATTTTATACTATGAATGTGTTTACTTTTGATGTTGTAAACTATATATTTACTTCGGAGTGTATGACTTTTTTTTGTATAAGAATTTACTTAGATTTTGCCTCGTTTGATATCATACCTATTCATTTCGTCTACTTGTAGTACACAAGACATTAAATTTTTATGGAGTTTTGGAATCCAGAATAGTTAGGGTAAATCAAATTCATTTTGATTGTTTGAAATATTTAAAAAAAATATTTAAAACCGACATTATATATTTATTGACTGGGTTCGAGGGCAACATGCGTTTTGTTGGACCCAAGAACCAAACTGTTCGCCTGAGACCGTTAGGCCGAAGGCACATGTATCATGATGTAAATTTCCTTTACCCGCACTGCGGCATAAAAGTTGGTTCCGTCACTGTCGAATACCAACGAATGCAAATGAGATTTAGCTGACCCCGTCCATTATGTGACGTAAGCGGTCCAACATCTCATCGACAGGTCCGATAGCTCACTCCGCGGTCAAACATCGATTTTTTTATGCCCGCTCAGTAAAACATTGGAAATGTTAGACTTTTTTTTAGTATTGATTTATATAAGAACAAATTTTTAAAGGTATAACAAACAAAATTGTTAATTTTATTCATATTCCAGAAAAATATTGTTTAATGGTAAGTTTCGTCGACTTCGGTGTATTTTCAATACTTGCATAAATGATTGGAGCGCCCCTTTGCTCTTAATTTCATTCGATCGGGTTACTTATTTTAATTTTCGTAGTCCCCAGGCACGTAGCATCGGGGGGGGGGGGGGGGGCTGCCACCCCTCAACTTTGTTCCAAGCTAAACTTTTTACTATTGAAAATGATCATGAAAGGCCGTTTGCCCCCTCCTTCTGTTGCAGTATCGTCAAATAAGGGTAGTGTAGTGGTGTATATATAAAGTTTGGTACTGAAAGATTTAAGTTGGAACCTACCATCCTACCCCTCCCTCACCCTATTGAAATTATAGGATTTTCGATTTTTTCAGGTAAGTTGAAATATTTTTTCTCTGTCTGCTCCCCCCCCCCCCACTTTCAAAAACGATGCTACGTCCCCAGGTGCGGATCCAGGAGTTTTTTCCAAGGGAGGTCGACCCCAGTAAAAAAAAATTTCCAATCCCCCCCCAAAAAACTTCCCAAACGTGAAAAGCACCTATTTCGTGGTGGTGATGGTGGGGTCCATGTTTTTAAGAGGTGTCCAAAGTCATTCTTTATTTGCTTCAGTATATACTTTTAATAACTCTGCAAATTCCAGGGGGGAGGGGTTCGGACTCCCTACCTCCCCCCTCTAGATCCGTGCATGCTCCCTATTCCAATCATCTAATTCCAACTTTCGGTTTTGCTTATAGTTGTACCATAAAAAAATGGAAAAAAGTTTACTTAGTCACAGTGAAACATAATTTTAAATTCAAGATAGAATCAGAATAAGAAAATAGGAAAAGTTGTCAAAATAAAATGAAATTAGGAAAATTAAATAAAAATTTAAAAAAATTTAAACAAGAAGTTAGAATTAATGACGATAAACTATGATTGACATATGTGACATAATTTATGTCTCAAAATAATCATAGTTTACGATTGCTAATTATAGTTTACGTCTGTTAAATATTGTTTATGAGTATAAATGACAGTTAACTATAGTTTTTCGAAGGAAAGTACCGAATGTAAAACATAGTTTATCTGATAAATATTGTTTCACGATTTGTGAAACTATGATTAACAACACTTGACTATGGTTGACGAATGCAAATTATAGTTTACAAATGAAAATTTATATTCATCAGCAAAATCTATTTGTAATATTTGTTTACAGATATATAAACATCGATCAGCATTCGTAAACTATAGTTACAACTGTTAAATGTAGTTTTACAGATGAAAACTATATATATATATAATTAACGAATCTTTAAATGAAGTTTACGGTCCGTAAACTATAGTTTACAATCGATAAACCTATCTTCTCATGCAACAGTTAAACTATGTTTTTTCTAATTAGACCATTCCAAGTTTTTTTTTCTATGTTTAGCGTCCACCCATCTTTCAAAAACCCACCTACCTATTTGCAAAAAACACAGAGACCAAAAAAAAAAAAACAGTAAGAACTGTAACATCAATCAAATGATTTGATTTCTAAAAATTACAAAATATGAAAAAATGTAGACAGATCATTAAGGAAATGATAGAATTCAGAGATTTCGACCAGAATAATCAATTTTGGGTCTCCTGATTTTGTTTTTTTTCCCTGATATTGGGTTCAAAAACCAAGGCGCACGCGGACGCTAAACATAGAAAAAACTTGGAATGGCCTTAGTGTGAATTTGGCGTGCCATAGAAATGCCCCGGTATTCCAAGATTTTTATGACATATACATGTACCAGATAGATTTTACAATTGTCTTATTTCTATATCATCCTATTGACTGACAGTGTTTCAAAAATCAATTTGACTCTGGACATTTGATATTTTCAATATTTGAAGTAAAATTCTAAAAATTCAAAAATAGAATAATATTTTCAAATAGCTAGGTTATATAGAATATATCATGATATTAAAAATAAACAGAATTCTTCTAGCTTGAATTAAAATTTATCAGTTAAAATCTAAAACTTTTTTAAGTTTTAATTTAGAAGATGGGTGGAAACTTGTTACTTTAGTGAATATATCAAAAGACAAAAATTGTGGGTGATTCTTAGACTGGTAATTAAATAAATACTGAAAAATCTATACAATCTAGAGAGATAGACTAAAAATTCAAAAGATCTGATAAATCCTCTGGGAAGGGGGGTTATATCAATTTAATTTTTTTTAATTAGAAATTGAAAACCTGTTTTGATATTTAGAATTGAATATTTTGGAATTAGATACTTTCTACGAGTTTGAGTTGTTACTCGGACCGAATATATCTAAAGTCGAAACGACTTGTTACCGTTAATTTATACGCGAAAGTTCGAAAACCGAAAGTACCCGGAGATTGAGATCCGAGAAGAAGGCAGAAAACATCAACTGATCAAGATTATCGGCTTATGTACTGTTAAGTCTTTCATATGTCGTTCAGAAGATATCTCTGGTAATAATCTTTGAGATAGATTAAGTGTAAAATATTGAATCCGAAGGGGAAAATAAAATCACTGTAAAAATGATGAAGGTTTTAAGGCTTTATTATAAAAAGGAAAGTGATAAAGTACCTAGTACTTATTTTATTTTTTCTTATGATATCAATAATAATATCTTTGATAGGGAATAATTCATTGAGCAAGAAGTTCATGTTTGTCACAATGCAACTATTCATTCGAAATTCCTCGTACTCTTGTTTTTTCACTAATCCGAGATCCTTCCGACTCTAACCCCTGCATATATATTTTGAAATGTGCAGGGGCTGCACATGTCAAAATATAAAAGCAGGGATTAGAGTCAGATGAATCTCGGATTAAGACATTTGGGGGAAATAATCAAACAACAAATTAAAAATCAATTTTTTAGAGTTTTAAATGGTACCAACTATATCATTACTAATGACAGCAGGGAAAATAATACCACTCAGTTGGAGAAAAGATGCCTATTTTGTTTTGGAAAGGGGGGGGGGGGCATTTAGCAATCCAGTATCAGGGCTTTCAAAAAGATTAGAAACAGGCAGTACTTTTACAAAAATAGGAGGTACCTAGTGAAAGTGATTTTATCTCAATGTTTTATCAAAATTTTCTCCATCAAATATTTTGGTCAGTGCAATCCTGATTTCAGACGGGTAAAAGTACCGGATACCGGCAGATTTTGAAAATTAAAGCCAGCAGTTATACAGACAATGAGAGGCCTGACACATGTCAAAAATGAAAATATGTAAAAGCTGGGGTATAAGGATATTGTCAGAGTGGTACATACAATATTATAGGAGTCAAAAACATAATGAATTCCAGGTTATGCATCTCTGTCTTGTGAACTTCCAAATATGTATTAATGCAATTTTCAAATACATACAGGCTCAAAATTATATTGCTGTTATGTTATTGGTGGTATGTATATCATTTGTTCATGTACTTTCAGATTGCAACTAATGGATTGAAATGTAAAATAAAGTACGAATCTGTTCACTTCTCTTTGGGGAAAAAAAATGTCATCTTTAACTGAAGAACAGAAGAGACGAATCGAGGAAAATAAAAGGAGAGCATTGGCTAAAAGGGCAGAAAAGCGAAGTCCAGTAAAATGCAGTCTTCAAGATCAGAAACAGCGAATAGAGGAAAATAGACAGAGAGCCCTTGCGCTCCGAGCTGATAAACACAGCCCAGTGAAAGATTGTCAATCTACAATGGTGAACAGTTTGGCAGCAAATGAAACACATAATACTAAGTCCCAGATGACTAGCTCATCTAGTATGTTCTATAATAAACAAACGTGTGTCCCTAATTCTGTAAAGCAGAGATTAGCTGACTCATACAATGAACCGATTGCTATTGGACAAAATAAAAACACTGCGAAAGGCGGCATTTCATGTTATAGTCACTCAAGATCTAATAACATAGGTGACTCAAATAACAACAAGGCTAATGCGTTAAATGCAGGACTAACAGATAAATTCAAGACACAGGCAAATCGATCAAAATTTAATAAACCAGTGTCGCAGGGGTCGAGCCAAGATTCGGAGGCAAAGTTAGCTAAGATGGCAGATTCCGTAGCTTCTTCTGGAGGCTCCACACAGACAACTCTTGTGGGAGGAACAACAGCCAAATGTCTTCTGATCTCCAGGGAGAGGTTTGAAGTCACTGCAGGATATTACCCACCCCTCATTGAGTTGTTTAAAACTATGGCGACCAAAAAATATGGTGAGTATTATAAAAATTAAGTGTTAGCATTATCAATGAAGATATTTTTTTCTGAAAACATTCAGTATTGCTTTGAGATATCTTAATAACAGGTTATAGATCAAGAAGCTATCTATTTTTCAGAAGAGGAAATCATTTTGATAACTAATTTTTCTTGATTGTAGTTGTAACTCTCTCTCTCTATATATTTAAACTATTTTTTTATTTTGTACAGATGCTGTTACCAAAAAATGGTCATTCAAGTTGGAGGATTACCATAAGCTTGGTAAACATTCCTACATGTAACGGTGACCTTTTTGGTGGTTGGGGGGGGGGGGGGGGGGGAATTAACTCACAAAAATCATTTTACATGGAATTTCATTATACATACGTACATTCATTTTCTTGTCTATGGTTCATCAGTATTTTCTTTGTTCCAATTGAAAACCTTTTACCAGGAATTTAGTTTTAAATTAGTATTTAATTAAGATAATGAAAGTTACATGTAATACATATGTACATTTGTACCCAGGATACATGTATGTTATGTACATGTACACATTACATTCGAAACTAGGGTATTTTTATATAAAAAAACAGAAATATTTACTGTAACCATGCTAATGGTAAAATCTTGTATTTAATTTACTTTTTGGATTTATGTATATCTCCTCAGATCACCATCATCATAACACATTTTATTTTATGTCTATGTGTATTACAGTGACAGGGATGAGGGCAATGAGTCCACAGGTCAGACTGGTGACACTCCCTCAGGCAATTCTGTCCACTTTCCAGCAACAACTTAACGGCATCTATCCTGACAGAGAAATTCCATCTGCAAATCTGAACAATCTGGATCACAGTCTCGTCAACTCTTTACTGCCATTCCAAAGAGAAGGCGTTAAGTATGTGTCAAGGAATTTCATTTTTTCAAGTCAATACTGGAACATGTTGACTACATGTACATCAAGCTGTTTTTTAGCTCTACTGGTCAGAGAGCTTATGCGATAGTAAGGTGTCCGTCGTCCGTCCGTCTAGCTGTCCGTCTGTCTGTAAACAATTTTTCAAAATGGTACTCCACCTACAGTTTTGGTCTGATTTCGATATAACTTGGCACACAAGTAGACTACACTAAGATACATAATTTAGTGCATCGGTTTTTGATTTTGATGAACGGTGTTGCCATGGTTACAAAAAATATAAATATCTTTGACATCCATTTAAAATGCTACTCCTCCTACAGTTTTGGTCTGATTTCATTATAACTTGGCACACGAGTAGACTACACTAAGATACAAAATTTAGTGCATCAGTTTTTGATTTCGATGAACGCTGTTGCCATGGTTACTAAAAATAGAAATTTCTGTGAAATTCCTTTAAAACGCTACTCCTCCTACAGTTTTGGTCTGATTACAATATAACTTGGCGCACAAGTAGACTACACTATTATACATAATTTAGTGCATCGGTTTTTGATTTCGATTAACGGTGTTGCCCTTGTTACTAAGTAGAAATTTCTGTGAAATTCCTTTAAAATGCTACTCCTCCAACAGTTTTGGTCTGATTTTAATATAACTTGGCACACAAGTGGACTTCACATTGATACATAATTTAGTGCATCATTTTTTGATTTCAATGAACGATGTTGCCATGGTTACTAAAAATAGAATTTTTTTTGAAATTCCTTAAAAACACTTCTCCTCCTACAGTTTTGGTCTGATTTTAATATATAACTTGGCATACAAGTAGACTACACACACTAAGATACATAATTTAGTTCATCGGTTTTTGATTTCGATGAACAGTGTTGCCATGGTTACTAAAAACAGAAATTTCTGTAAAATCCCTTTAAAACGTTACTCCTCCTACAGTTTTGGTCTGATTTCAATCTAATTTGGCACACAATTAGAATACACTACGATTCATAATATGCATTTCGGTTTTTGATTGTGGTTACTAAAAATAGAAATTTCTGTGAAATACTTTCAAAACGCTACTCCTCCTACAGTTTTCCTTTGATTTCAATATAACTTGGCACAGAAGTAGACTACATTAAGATACATAATTCTATTTATTAATGCATGTTGCAAATCCAAGTGCTACTTTGTTATACGAACAGACCAGTAGAGCTACAGTCCTATCAGAGACTTCTGGTTTTTTTTTTGTTAAAGCTCAGTGATGATTCTCTTCCAATATTTAGCGGAATTCCGCTAAATTGAATCTAAGAATCCGATATTTATGAGTGTTTTCTGATATTTTGGTTCTTTCTATTTTTGCAGCAATCTGTTTTGGTTTTTAGCTCACCTCGACGAAGTTGAGATGAGCTTATGCTATACCCCTGGCGTCGGCGTCGGTGTCGGCGTTAGCGTCAGCGTCCCGGTTAAAGTTTTAGGAGCAAGTCCATTCCCAAGTAACTATAAGCCCTACGTGGACCAAACTTGCATAGATGATGCATTTAGGGATGGACACTACCACACTTGCTTCAGATGCTGGATCTGACCTAGATTTTCCAGATGAGCGACCAGGTTAAAGTTTTTGGAGCAGGTCCATTCCCAAGTAACTATTAGCCCTACCTGGACCAAACTTGCATGGATGATGCATCTAGGGATGGACACTACCACACTTGCTTCGGATGCTGGATCTGACCTAGATTTTCCAGATGAATGACCAGGTTAAAGTTTTTGGAGCAGGTCCATACCCAAGTAACTATTAGCCCTACCTGGACCAAACTTGCATGGATGATGCATCTAGGGATGGACACTACCACACTTGCTTCGGATGCTGGATCTGACCTAGATTTTCAAGATGAATGACCAGGTTAAAGTTTTTGGAGCAGGTCCATACCCAAGTAACTATTAGCCCTACCTAGACCAAACTTGTATGGATGATGCATCTAGGGATGGACGCTACCACACTTGCTTCAGATGCTGGATCTGACCTAGATTTTCCAGATGAGTGACAAGGTTAAAGTTTTTGGAGCAGGTCCATTCCCAAGTAAGTATAAGCCCTTCCTTGACCAAACTTGCATGGATGCAGGGCTTGACATTAACACTTGTCTGGTACCAGTGAAAAAAAATTACGGACAAGTGAATATTGTTGGGCGCTTGTCCGATTGTACAAGTGCATTTAAAGAAGTCTCAAAATAATAAAAAGAACGACTGTCGAACGTTTATCGGTACTGTAGTTCAAAGACGGAAGCAGTATGTACCTAATACCGAACTTCGATCCCGATATGGATCGCTATGTAGTTGAGTTCACACTCAATCGGGATCGACGTTCTCTAATTGCATACTACTGCAATAATCTCCTATGCAGAGTTGTCGTTCGTTCCTCTCTGAATGTATGAGCCGATGGTAGAGAGTGCTACTGCAAAGGCATGGAATTTACGAAGTTTGGATTCTGTTTGATGTTGCCAGTCCATTTATGTTGTTGTTAGGACAAAGTCTAGATAAAATTTTGTGTTATGTGTTTGTTGTATTTATCAATAACTCCATGAATCAATCAAACACATGTAATGGAATTCATTTTAGTTTTCAAGTTAACAGTATTAGATCTTTATTGAAAATTTTTCGGACAAGTGAAGTTGAAGTTCGGACAAGTAAATGTCTTGGTCACTTGTCCGAATGGACAAGTAGGAAAAAAAGTTAATGTCAAGCCCTGGGATGATGCATCTAGGGATGGACACTACCACACTTGCTTCGGATGCTGGATCTGACCTAGATTTTTCAGATGAGTGACCAGGTTAAAGTTTTTGGAGCAGGTCCATTCCCAAGTAACTATTAGCCCTACCTGGACCAGACTTGCATTGATAATGCATCTAGGGATGGACACTACCACACTTGCTTCAGATGCTGGATCTGACCTAGATTTTCCAGATGAGTGACCAGGTTAAAGTTTTTGGAGCAAATCCATTCCCAAGTAAATATAAGCCCTACCTTGAACAAACTTGCATGGATGATGCATCTAGGGATGGACACTACCACACTTGCTTCGGATGCTGGATCTGACCTATATTTTCAGTTGAGTGATCAGGTTAAAGTTTTTGGAGCAGGTCCATTCCCAAGTAAGAATAAGCCCTACCTGGACCAAACGTGCATGGATGATGCATCTTGGGATGTACGCTAACCAACCTGCTTGGATGCTGGATCCGACCTAGATTTACCACATGAGTGAATTTTAGCCATATTTTTACCAAATTAGCATGGATGATGTAGCTAGGGATGGACACTTCAAGACTTGCTTTGGATTCTTAATCTGACTTACATTTTCCAGATGAGTGACCAGGATAATTTTTTTGGAGTAGCTATATAACATTATGGCCTGTTATGATTAAACTTGCACAGATGGTGCATCTAAGGATGAAAACTTCCAGACTTACTTTGGATGTTGGAACTGACCAAAATTTTCTTGATTAGTAAACAGGATAAACGTTTTCTGAACAGGTCTATTTTCAAGTAACTATAAGTCGTACTTAAACCAAACTTGCATGGATATTGATCTTGGGATGTACACTTACTAAAAAAAGAATATGCTGTGAAATTTGCCTTACTTAAAGATAAGATTCGTCGAGGTGAGCTTCATAATCTTTGATTACTTATGTTTGTCTGGGTAAAAACTTCACTGTTGAACCACTAAAAAAATTCAAGTTGTTTAGTCTTTGTTTTGATCTAGTCTGCATTATCCAGGTGTTTGCTTTTATCTCCAACTAAGGTAAACACAAATGTAGGGATGATTCGGACTTCTTTACAATGGCGTGGCGGTTCATTCATCCAGGTCAGGATGTAAAAGCTTTGGTATCGATTTTGAGGCCACTTGATCAAATGCTCAGCATGATTAGGATTACTGATGTAAGCACATAGAGGCCATGTACACATATAAAGGACTGTCAGTGTTTCAGTTCGTCACAGTTTTGTCAATCCTGAAAGATTATTGTCACCCATACCAAACCATTCTCACAATTTGCTCGACATGAGCAGCTCACGTGAGGACTAACCAGATTTCCTCACGTGAGTTGCTCATGTGAGTCTTATGCGCAATTTAACATGCAAATTAGGTGAAATGCTTGCGTGAGCAAGATTCTGCACATGTGCATTTTTTGCTCATGTGAGGAATTATTTTGCTCACCTAGAATTTTGCTCACATGAGGCTCATTAGTCTTATGTGCAACAATTGCTCACTTGAACAAACAACAATAGAATAAAATTTAGATTACAAATATAATATACATACATGTATATTTCAAAATATTTAATTCCTCAATAATATTGAACATTTTAAATAATTATATATATTTGAGCAACATGTAAAAACATGCATAAATGTTCAGTGAACTTCATTTTTCAAACTAAAAATTAACCTAAACTGAAAATTAAATAAGATTTAAAATTAAATTAAATGAACAACTAGTATATACTACATTGAACACATTTCTCTGTATTAATCTTAATTATAAATGTATAAATTATGTACAATACACATCATTGTATAAATTATCAAAAAGTTAGATTTCCAGTAGATTTACAGAACATCCAATGTAAAATGTATATAAGTCAACCGTTTTGGACTGCACTGGATTGATTAAAGTTGTCTCTAATTGACAGGTTAATGTAGATTTGTCTCACATTGCTGAATGCATGGCAATCATACTTGGGTGTGAAATAAAAATTCCAGCAGTCATAAGAATTATAAACCTTTCATCAAGTTCATTTTCCTTGCATTTCCTTTAAATGAGTGCCAACTTCAGAGCTTGGTCTATATATAAGGGGGCTAATCTGCAGATCCCTCAATCAGCAACTTTTATCTGCAAAAATTTTGAATTAAATATAAGTATTATAGTTTTCATGGTTCAGTTAAATTAGTCATGAAAGGCAAGTTAATAAAAAAGTCATATGCATCAATATTAAGCAACTTATCTTGAAAGAATAGCTAGATTATAGATTACTGCACTGAGCTGTACACTTTGACCTAATCTAATCTACCTACCATATTTACAGTTCTTAAGAGAATCTATAGAGAATTTGCAAATTATATTAAGGAATATTTGATCCATATTCAGAACTATAAACATTAATGATGTAAATTACTGTAATTACTGATAAATTAACATACTGCATTTAAATCTAAATTAAGTTTTACTAATAATAACACACAAACTTAACAGATTATGTTTTATAAGTAGCTATAGTAATCTGAAATGAGAGGGGGTATAATATACAAATCCACTTACCCTTTTCTCAGCATACTTTAGTGCCAGCAAATCTTTCAAATTTTCCTATCACTCATTGTGGCTGCATGGTCATTCATAATTGATCTTTAATATTTCCTCATCTCATGGACTTATGATACATTTGTAACTTTTAAAATATGTTGACACCCAGTCCAATATGGTGATGACATGTATTTCCCAAAGCATATTTCACTTCTTTACTATATAAAATTAATCTATATACTTTCATACCCTCACAAACATTCGTATTGAAATTTTGAACTGGTCTGAGAGACTGAGAAGTGCGCACAAATCTGACTGGCTCCCCTCATTGGACACAGCCCTAGTTTTAAGAAACTGTGGGGGACACAGCAGGCTGTTAAGGTAGAAGATAGCATTTGCAAATTGATAAGAAATCCCTGACTGGCTTCCAATTATTTGTGATGCTATCAACAGGAAGCATTAACAGTAACTCATGGGCAATTGTAATGAAGGCTTGTGAAAGCTTGGACCACACAGAGTGACAAAGTATTGTATTTCCTCACGTGAGCATTTGAAATGCTCATGTGAGAAAATGAGACTTGTAATTCTTTGGTTTTGGTTTTACCTGTAATACTGAATTTTGACCATGTCCAATATCCTAACCTCTTTCTCACGTGAGAAAATTGAACTTAGAAAAATTACTACCAATGCTATATCTTTTTATAAGGCTGTTCATACGTGAGCAATTTGAATAGACTTTTGCTCATGAGCATCCAAGTGAGCATAATTTTGCACATGTGCACTTTGGTTAGTATTTTCCTCCCTAACAGAGACTAACAATCTGCACATGAGCAAAATCAAATTCTACCTAATTTGCATACATTTCTTACTAGATTCTCATGTGAATCTCATGAGCTGCTCATGAGCATTTGTTAGAATGTTTGGTACGGGCATTGTAATCATGGCCAAAAGACCATCTGTTATTAACCTTTCATGTGTTTTTTTGATCTGAAACATATATAAGGTAATTTTATTGAGTGCACTGATGCTGCTGGCCTTGCATTCATTACATAAAACACATTTTCATGGAAAGAATCAAATGACTGCAGGAAATACATATGAAAGTCTTACTTTACTTTAACTGGAATTTTCCACAGTTGTCATGGAATGTTTTAGATATATGCCTGCATGCTAATTAAGATTTGTACACTGTAATGTAGATTGAACTGGATTGATGAAATGAAGTTTGCTTAGCAGAAACTGGTTATTTTTCTGTAGACATAATTTAATGGGAACATAAGCACTTAATTAGCACATTAAAATACCCCTGTGAGAGGGTGCTGTGTAAGCCTGATCTTCTTTGCTTTGTCCAAAACTTTCATTTGACAATTTGTAAATCAATCTATTGCCTGCTAAAATCTTACACATGCATTAAAAGTGAAAATGGAGAATTATAAAATTCGAGTAAATCAACCCCAATAAATGATACACAATCAAAAGATAATGCATATATAAATAAGACAGTGTGTCACAAAATGTGTGATTTAAACAAATTTTTTTTCACAGTGAATTTTAATGTTCAATTTTTAATGGTAAGGTCTAAGTTCAGATTGAATTTCAAGTAGGAATTTTTTGTCACATGCCAAATAAATCATACTTCAAACTAAGTGAAATGAGTGAATGACCTTTCTTGCATTTTTTAATTAAATTATTTCAGGAATTCTGGGGTTCTGAAATTGTTATCTCTTGCAGTTTTGGAGTCCACAAGCAAGGTCGAGTCCTGATAGCTGATGACATGGGTTTGGGGAAGACCATCCAGGCAATCTGTTTGGCCTGTTACTATAAGAACGAGTGGCCCCTTCTGGTGGTGGTTCCCTCCTCGGTCCGATTTGACTGGGCTCAGGTGCGTGTGTGTTTTTGCGGGAAACCACTACGTTAATGTACTGGCTTAATTTGTATTTGATAGGGCTGGGGTGATTCACTTCCTTCAGTCTGTATTAACACTTATCAAGGATATTTTTTGTCACCAAACAATAGGTTTCATGATATTTCTAATTGATTATGAAATTTTCATTTTGTATAAAAAAAAAACAGTATATTTCTTCTCAAATAAGAATGATTAATTCATTTAGTAGTTGTATGTCTATGATCTGTAGTAAAACAAAATCTGCACTTAATGAAAAAATTGTGTTAATTTTTTAAATTTTTTTTTAAAAACATGTTTAACTTGGTAAATTCAGCAATGTGAATTTCTTTTTTCCTTTTATAAACTCGTTAGATTTTTGTGTAAATTGCTTTTATAATTTCAGCAACTAGAGCGCTGGGTACCCAGTCTAGACCCACAGGAAGTATATGTTGCCATGACAGGAAAATGTAGCCTATCAGGTCACAAGGTCTGCATCCTTAGTTACGAACTCATGGCCAAGAAAGCTAAGGAACTCTTGGAGAAGAACTTCAATGTCGTCATCATGGTAAAAAACGTCAGAATGGAAAACATTTTAGGTTGCCTTCACCTGTGAAGATGTGAAATTTTACATACAATGTGAAAGTTGGTATAGGTATTGGGTATCTTATTCAAATCATAAAATGACAGGTACAAAATTTACAGAATTTAGTCTAAATTGGGGATTGATACACGTATGTATAATTAGTCTTGTATGTCCATGCAGTTACAATATAATCATTGTGTGGGCTCATTTGTTTATTTTATCAACATGGTCATCTAAGTCCTGATATTAATAATGAATGTTATAAACACACGTAAATCTGCAATTATAAAAGTAATTATAAACACACACAAAAAAAGATAACACATGAAATACAGGGATGAGTCATAACATGATATTCAACATTATGACAACAATCATGACGTACATGTACATGTGTGATATATACACTGTACCGCACTCTGAATAAAGGGCAATAACTCTAGACTAATTCAACTGAACTGATTAATTGGAGCTTTTAATCCATAAAATCCATATGGATTTAATAAAATCTATAGATTTTGAAGTAAAATTGATTTTGGTAATTTAGCTTGGTAAATCCAAAATATTTGTCAAATATTTACCTTATAACCAATGACTTTATTAGCCAGGTATTAAAAATATCTGAAATATGTACAGTTACACAATGTTCTTACCAAAGAGCTATGTTATAACCTAGCTTGATTTAAGGGTAACGAGCACCTACATCAACAAAATAATTAATAATAAAACAGTTTCAGATGCCAGAGACATGAATAACACACATGTGATTCTAACTTTAATAACATTACTTAAAGCTGAATTTTAAATTTGAAAAACTTTATTCAAATGTTGATGCATATACTGTGAAAGCACTAATTTTCGTGGGGGTTAAATTTTCTTTTTTTTTTTTTTTGGTCTGGTATGAAGAGACCCACGAATTCATATCCCCCACAAAATGTTATGTCTTAGTACCAGTGTATACCGGTATTTGTTCCCCTCAAACCAGTAATTTTTCCTTAAACCATGAAAATTTGACCCCCTTAAAAATAAATGATTTTACAGTATCTATCATAAGGCCCTGATTAGGACAGGAGATACTATAACACTGTATGTAATAATCAGGATACCTATATACAGAATATTTTTAAAATACTGAAAGGATTTTGATAAATGATTTAAAATTTTATTTTTATTAGGATGAATGTCACTTGTTGAAGAATTTCAAAACAGCAAGATGTAAAGCAGCCATGCCCATTCTTAAGGTAGGTGGCCCATTCTTAAGGTAGTTTTTTTTTTTAAAAAGAAAAATAAGAACTCTATTTGCAGTACTCTAGCTAAGTTAGATTCTTAATACAAGTTTGCATTTAAATGTAATTATAGATTATTTAAAGTGTTATTTAAGGAGGGATTCTTGTCTGGTTTCTGACTAGATGAAATATTCAAAGTATATTTGCTTATATGTCTTATATATTTAGATGTAAGGGATTTAAAAGATCATATTTTTCTTTCCTCATCATAATTGTACAACTTTAAATAGAAATTATAAACTGAGTTTGAAATCTAGCAGGGACTATATTTTTGGCTGAATGACGGCGTATGAAAAATCTCCTTTTCTGCTTCTCAAAATTACTATAGTACAATGAATTTATAAGTTAAAATGTTTAAGCAATCAAAGACTTAAAGAAAATTTCAATATATGGTTTATGAATGTTCCACACATTGATGTTCTCTGCCATGTATTTTATGGTGATCTACACTTTTTGATTTTTTGGGTATAGGCTTCTAAACGTGTGATTCTCTTGAGTGGAACTCCCGCACTATCTCGGCCCCAGGAACTTTACACCCAGATCTGTGCAGTTAAGCCCTACATGTTTCAGTACCAGGATTTTGGGGTCCGTTACTGTGATGGGAAAAAGGTTGGTGAAAATTTTTAGCTGTGTACAGTCACTGTGGTTTTTTTCCCTTATATAACTGGTACCGATAAACGGTATCATTCCCAATTTTAAAAAATGTTGATTTTCCCCAAATTTTGACTCAAACTTCCCAATTACACTACCAAGGAACAGAGTATGATGACATCATAATTCTCTTCATATGAAATGTTGTATGAGTTGACTAAATGTTTTACTTTATCATAAATCGAAAGAAGAAATCAGTTGTAATATATGGCAGAACCAATGTCTTACAGACTCGTCTTACATTTTTGACAACTTGAAAGCACGAAAATGTGAGAACAAGGCACATTAATATTTAAAACAATGAATATTTTGTTGTTTATTCTTTAGAATTGGGATTAATATGTAATAAGGTTTAAATAAACACAAAATAAAATTCATTTGTTGACATGACAGAAAATGTCGGAGGGATTTGGAAGTCCTAACTCCTTATTCTTTAAGTATTTTACCTTGGATGTCTTGAATTCTTGGATATCTCGAAGTTTCTTCTCGATACTACATGTGTATTGAGTTTGAGATAATGAGGTTTGACTGTATTTTGACGCTATTTTTCCAAATTGAATCGGTACTGGACCCATTCCCAATGACTACATAAAAATCGCTTAACGAGGATAACTAGGTACTTCTTATTTCATTCAGATACATTATTTTTACCTTAATTAATATTGCAGTCCTACATATATTTTAACGTATCTTAACTTTTAAAAAGTGAATTTTAATTTATGTTATATACAAGAGAAATTGAATAATATTTTGGATACATTCAGTAGGTAGTGTACAGTGTTGATTCTACCTATATGTCTTTTGTTCAGAACCCCTGGGGCTGGGATTTCTCAGGATCATCTAACATGGAGGAGCTACAGATTCTGTTGGAGGAGAGCATTATGATCAGGTCAGTCAAAAGTTATGTCTTACTTTAGCAGTGTAGTAGGTCTATTTATATTGTTTGATCTACTGGCGTACACCGTTTTATAGAGGTAAATGTACATGAAATTTGACCCCCCCCCCACCCTTTATGCTAAAATCAAATATTTCATAGCTACATGTATATGTAGGTATCCAATAGTAGTATAGCTTATGAAGCTATATAAAAGCAATATGTACACGTAGCTATTACGATAGGTTAGCATGAAGCTTTACACAATACACATCATTTTATTCAGCTTCAGGGTACATTGAAATTTTATTTTTACCTAAATATGTATTATATCTATACATACATTTAGCTGGTTTAAAATTGTCATTAAATGAATAAATGATACTTGCACATGTAAGTGCATATTCATTGATTGCAGTTTTGCAGCTTGAATTGTAAATTCATGTTATTTAACACCTTTAATCAGTAGATTTGCTTTTCTTTCGTGCTTCAGGAGGTTGAAGAAAGATGTCTTGACCCAGTTGCCAGACAAAGTGAGACAGATGGTCTTATTAGACCCAGGGTCTGTAAAGACAACCAAACAAATGGAGCAACAAAGCAAAACCATGGAACTCAAGTCTCTCAAAGTAATTAAAAAAATTATTGTAAACTTGGTTAATTTGAAGGGTTAAATATTTGATGATTTTCTTCATTAAGAAATTTGGAGAATGGAAAATTTGATGGTTTAATTGTCTAAAATTGCTCTTTAACAAGGATAAGAAACTTGACGAGTGGAAATTCCAACAGTTCTAAGTCAATTGCCAATATTCTATCAATGTTTCTACATTTTCATACTTTGCACAATTGCAGCTTGTGAAAGAAAACTGGAGTTATTTTTCTCTTGCAGTCTGTTAGTTCACTTAAGGCAAGCTAAGGACTTAAAGTCAGCTTTCTCAGATCACATTGTTTACATTTACCCTCGGTCTCTTACCATTGCATATTACTGATTTCTACTTAAGTCTGATATCATCCAAACTTGGCCAAAAGCACCCTTTGATAAATGGGTTTCAATTTTTGTTCATTCTCCCTGCATACTGGAACAATAAAGGAAGATAACAGTGGTGTGGAAAATTTGGGGATTATTTGATTTATATATCATAAAAATACATAAGCATACCACTGAATCCTACATGTATATGACTTTTTATACGCCCGTCATAAGATGGGACGTATTATGTTACAGCGTTCATGTCCGTCTGTCCGTCTGTTAGCTTTTTTGTGTCCGGCTCATAACTTTAATACTATTAGGACTAGAACTATCAAACTTTGTCAGCTGATACATCTTGGGTAGAGGGTGTGTTGTGCATTAAAAGTAGGTCGCTCTGACCTTTAATTAAGATGCTATGGCCAAATTTGGAAAAATCCTGTTTCGGCTCATAACTAGAAAACTAATAGACCTAGAATCATCAAACTCGGCCAATATATGCATCTTATGTAGAAGGTGTGCCGCGACCTATTTCAAGGACACTGTGACCTTTAATTTAAGTGAAATTTAAAAAAACTGTCTTTTAACTTTTTAATTACACAGTCCCAAAAGATGTAAGAATATTGCATTATCCTAATTAAAAAAATGTTAAATCAAGAAAATACTTATTTTTTTCATTATATACTTTACAGCAATCTGCAACAAATCTAATGTTATAAGAGAAATTCCACCTCTCCCATGGGTGTAATTATCAAGCACTGGTCAAGAAGAATTTTGATAACAGAAAATAGCATGTCAAATTAGAGAGAAATTAATGAGTTTAGTGTAAGGAGATAACTGGTAGAGCATCTCTGATCAAGCAGGTGTTATCTATATCTCTTGGGAATTGGGCTAAGGAATCAGCCTCTTGATTGAATAGTTTTGTTGGCTAGTCTATTTTTCAAGATAAATTTGTTGTAATTAAAAGTAATTAAAACTAATTTGATATGTATAATATAATTAAAACTAATTTGATAATGTATAATATGATTAAAACTAATTTGAAATAGTATAATATTTTTTTTATTTTAATTTTTATATCTTTACAACAAATTGCAGAGTGTCATGTCTCACTAAGATGACAAATTTATAGTCTAAAGAATAAACATAACTTGTTTTGATGTTTTATTAGGCTGTAGCATTGTTAATCAATCATAAAATATCCAATAAACAAATCTGCAGATGAACATTTAAGCTCTAACAAAAACCAGTGGAGAAATATATGATGTATTATTTGTTATAAGTAATACCTACACCACAGGAGATGTTTGTACATCAAACATTATAAGGAATGGAAAAATCATTGAAATCTTTGTAAGGTTAACATGATTTTCTTGCACTTTAAACTGTTTATGATAATTGAACAATATTTGATGGGCGTGTTATGCTGTGGTGGTGTTTTTTATTATCAGTTGAGACAAGATGTACATTGACCTTTATTATATTGTAATTTTATACAGGGAATGGAAAGAAGAGGTGCTCTTTTGGAATACTTCCATCATACAGGGGCAGCCAAAATTAAAGCCATCAAGTGAGTTCTGTTCTTAAAATATAGATTACGCCAAAAGTAAAGCTTTCAAGTATCAGTAGTTCATGCAACTGGTTTCTAATGTAGGCACACAAAAACAGTAAAATTCCTGGATGCAACATGTACAGTGTATAGACAACCAAAATGAAAGCTCTCCAGCATGTTAACATTCTTATATATTAAAATAATTTATTTCAGATTTTTTGTAAGTTATTGTCTCAAAATGAGACTAATACAAATTTTCACTGTAACCATTTGAATTTTCAAGAACTTATTTCATTCTGTATCTGACCTTTAATTTCCACAGCTCTGAAAAGATAAAATATATAAAAAAGCAGAAAAATTAGACATTTTCTCCTGAATAGTACATGTATGAAATATTCATCTTCTATTCATCTTCTCATAAAAGGGGAAATTTAAAATTTTAGTACAAAAACAATTTTATGAAATACTACATAAAAGTTTTGATGAAGAAAAGAATAAATTATATTTGATTGTATTTTATCTTTTTACAGAGACTATGTCCTGGACTTGTTGGACTCAGACAAGAAGTTTCTGATTTTTGCCCATCACCAGGAAGTCTTGGATGCCATAGAAACTGCTGTCCAATCAAAGGTTAAAATACATATTATCAAGTTAATGTGTTACGTATTTTTCAAAAAGGGAAAGGATTCCATAACTCCAAATTTAACATGATTTGGAAATTTTTTAAAAATAGTCTTGTGCATTAACATCTCAAAATTTAAAGATTTTAAGATTTTATCTGAGCAATACGGTGTCTTTTGTTGAACTACAGTCAAATTTCATTATCTTGAACCCAGTGGGACCAAGATAAAAACTGTGGGATATCCAATGACTCGAGATATCTATGTTAAAATATGTAAAGAAAAAGTGGTTAGGACTTCCACCTCGATCACTTCGACATATTCATAGTATTCATGATATCGAGGTTCAAGATAACCAATTTTAACTGTAAATAGAAGTTATTTTTGAATTCTTTTAGAATGCATCCAAGACATCAAGTATTGATCATACAATTACGTCTTTTTCATCATATTGTACTTGTTTATGTACCCAGTACAATTCTTTAACATTTTATCATTGTTTACATCATATTTTGGTCAGATTGAAAAAGGTTACATAAGAATTGATGGGAAAACCACGGCAGAACAGAGGAACTTTTTCTGCAAGAAATTTCAGACAAATGACTCGATTCGAGTGGCCATACTTTCTATCTGTGCTGCCAATGCTGGGTTGAATCTGTCCGCAGCCAGTCTGGTGGTGTTTGGAGAACTCTTCTGGAACCCTGGGGTGAATTTTGTTGATATTTTTTTCATGCAGCTCAACTACAAATTTTACTGTATTAGATTTTTTTCAGTAAAAATTTTCAATTTTACGTAAAAGTACCAGATAACAATTCTGCTAAATGATTTAGTAGACTCTTTATATAATCTCTGAATGTTGGATTACCAACATAGACCTATATAAAGTAAAAACATATTTCTCTATGTGGTTAGAAAAAATTCAACTTTTAAAGGTGCTTGGACACAGATTTGAAGTTAATATTTTCTCAAATTTTCTGTATAATATCACGACTTATATATTGCAATAGCATTTCACACGAAAATATAATTAAAAACTTATTTTATCAGGAAATCATTGGAACTACGAATTCCGGGACGTGTTTGATTAACACATCTTTGCACTTACCCTGGTACACAAATTTTAACTTTATCCTTAATATTTAAGAAAAGAAGCGATTCTGTTATGTATTAATGAAAAACAGTACATCTATAATCCAGAAAATTCAGAGTAGAAATGTTCGAAAGCAAAACCAACTCACCAGTATTGTCAGTCCGTGCTCTGTGATGTGTACAGAGTTTAACAAATTGAACACCCCCGTGAAACATAAACTGTTTTTGTAAACAGGGCACGAGCTCTGTTATTGTTAATGTTTATGATTCACCGGGTGTGTTCAATTGTTAAACTCTGCACACACCACTGAGCACGGACTTACAATACTGTGAGTGGGTTTTGCTTTCAAACATTTCTACTCTGAATTTTCTGGGTTATAGTTTTAATATTTTACTTTTATACACAACAAAATTGCCACTTTTCTTAAGTATTAAGAATAAAATTAGAATATGTGAAAGCGTAAGGATGTGTCAATCCAACGCGTCCAGAAATTCGAAGTTTTGATAACTTCGAGATGAAATAAGATTTTTATTATATTTTAGTATGAAATGCTGTAGCAACATATAAGTCATGAAATTATACAGAAAATTTGAGAAAATATTAACTCTGTGTGTCCAAGCACCTTTAACATCTGATATGCAATCATTCACTTAATGTACTCCTTCTAAATGCAGTCACAATTTTTGTCAATGTATTCACTGACACATATTCTGTAAGAGGACATATGAAAATTTGCAATAAAATGTCAACTACGTGTTTTTCATAAAATGAACTCAATGTCATGTATAGTCAATTTGCTGAATCAACATAGTTTGGTGTGTACATTAATTCAGTAAATCAGATTGAATTCTTTTGCTATTTCTGTGTTGTGGTTTACAGATTTTGGTTCAGGCAGAGGACCGAGCACACAGGATGGGGCAGAGAGACATGGTCAATGTCCACTACCTGGTAGCAAGGGGAACAGCTGATGACCACGTCTGGTAACTGTTAATGAGAGGCTTAGTTTACCACTTACCTGTGATTTTATTCTTACCTAACTGTTTATAATAGGTTAATCTTCAGTATCTGTGATTTTACTAACTGTAAGAGTTGATCTGATATACAGTAAAACTCGCTTATAAGGAAGTTATAAACAATATTCCTTAAATCTGTATAAAGAACATAGAGCAAAGTTTTCTACAGGATTCATGAAAGTTTCTTTATAACAGATATCCTTATAAGTGAGATTTTTATTACCAAGTTTAATTGATTAATGTAATGCTTATTTGGTGTTCTTTGGATGTGAAGAAACACTTTTTGTGGTTATTTATTGAAAATTACATGCACAATGTGAGTTATAGAACAGTCATGTAGATGTACAGATGTATTTAAAAATTTCTTAAGTCTACATATGTCTAAAATCAGAGTTATATGTATATTCCAAAGGTAGGGGGATACAATACCAGAGGCTTTATGTGTCACAGAATATCTCTCTATTTTTAGGCCACTCGTTCAGAAGAAATTGGAGGTATTGAGCAAGGCAGGTCTGAGTAAGGAAGACTTTTCCGCAGCGGACACCAAGACTGTTAAGGTACTGTAAACCAGGTTAAAATTATGGGTTGAACGTTTGTCGATTTTGATATTTTAGAAATGTGGCGAGTGAAAACTTGGACGATCTAATAACGGTGCTCTTTCACAAGAATGTGAAAGTTGAGACAAGTGGAAAATTTGATGATTTTTAGTAGTTAGTCAATTTCGTCTACTTATCCACATCGTCAAAGTTTCCACTTTTATATTAATAATTGAAGATTGTATTCACATTGTTGGAATAATCATATGTTCATTGTTACAATTTTAGGCACCCAGGTGACCTATTGCTGCATGTATCAGTTTATGTCCATTGTTGCATGTCACTCGTAAACTTTTAACATTTTCAACTTCTTCTCCAGAACCACTGAGCCAAATTCAATTAAATTTGGCATTTAAAACATTCCTTGGTGGAGAGGATTCAAATTTGTTCAATAGAGGGCCAAACCCTCTTTCAAAGGGAGATAATTAATTAGAATTTTTATACCTCTATTTAGAATACTGTAATTTGATTGTCTTGTTAGAAGGCTTTAAAACTTAACAAGCATTCTGAGAGTATTGCATTAGCAATACTAGTCCCCTACCGGCAAATGTAACCTGGTTCCCTTTAAAAATTGAAAATGCCATAATTCCGTAAAAAATCATTGAAGCGGAACGAAATGCAAACTTGATCTATAAGTAATCAAGGTAAAGTCACATACCAAACATCAGCTCCGTATCTCCAAGCGTTTAGAAAAAAATTACGGAAAACCCTAAAAAATTGAAAAGATCGTAATTCCGTCAAAAATCAATGAAGCGGAATGAAATGCAAACTTGATCTGTAACTCATCAAGATACATTCACATACCAAAAATCAGCTCAATATCTGCAAGCGTTTAGGAAAAAAATGCAGAAAACCAAGTGAGACAGACTGACAGACAGACAGATGGACGCACAGACTCAGAGGAAACCTGTAGTCCCCTCTGGTTTCACCGTCCTCGGAAATATGAGTATTTCCCAGTTTTTTGCCAACCCTGTTCTGTATGTCTGCATATGAGCTTTCATATTAAGGAGATGGTTCTTCCACAACATCTATCCATGTCAGCTAATTTTCTCTCATTTCTTATTTATAAATTGTGTGTTATATTGTCTTTAGTTTTTAAAATTGACAAATGAATATAAATATCAAGATTGTATTTTGCAGGATTCCAAACAGACAGATTTGATGCAGTTCTTTGAGGAAAGTTTTATGGAGGAGAGTATACTGGAAACATCACTTGATGAGGACAACCAGTCAAATACTGCAGAGGAAATTTCATCCAATAAAAATCCAGAGGCTGATCAAAGACTAACCAATCAGAATTCAGGAGCTTCTAAATGTAGCTAAACTTATTTTTCACAATATGTAGTGTTATTTATGCAATTAATATGCCATGCATAATCTGAAAGTTTTATCTTTCGGTACTAAGAAGTATTTTAATCATCAAATTGAGTTTACTTATGGTTAAACTGTTTTGTATGATTAGTTACTGTATAGAGAAATGTACGAGTATTAATCCAAAAGTAAGTCACAACTTTAATATCAAATGTTATCAACATCATTGTACATGTATATACTAATACCTCTATCTATTTTGACTTTTACCCTAAAATTTTCATTTAGATATATGAAGTACTTTTTAAAGATAGTAAAATAAACACAATGTTGGATCTCGTCTAAATATTGGTATAATAAGAATTATAGCAGTTCTGCAAGATTTCTAAAGTCTATTGTTTCGAATCACTATTTTAATTTTTACAGTGTCTGTTAAACCAGTGAAACCCAAAACAGAGCAGTCCTTATTTAACTACTTTGGTGCTAAAAAAGACAACTCAGAATCCAAATCAGGGGGCTGTTGTGTTTCTAAGGACTCTGTGATGGACAATATTGATGACGATCTCTTGTTTGATGATGATGAATGGCTAGAAGATATGGATGAGCCAAAAACTAAGAAATTAAAGTGCTGACATTTGTAGCTGTTGTAAATAAAAGTTATTGCATGTCATTTTCATTTGCATTTATGGATTTTTAGATCACTTGAGTTAAATGCTCAAGTGAGCACTCTGATATAAGTTTGTCTATAGTTCCTTCTTCTGTGCGTTAACTTTTACGTTTTTTTCCTTTTCTACATAACCACGGGACCAATTTCATCCAAACTTGGCAGAGGGTATTCTAGGGTACAGAGGATTAAAATGTGTTCTAACAAAGGGGAGATAATCATGAAGAAAAGGCAAAAAGTAGGATGGGGTCATATAAAAAATTATCAAGAACCAATTGGCTGAAAAAGATGAAAGCTTTCTAACAGTTTGTAGATTCAAATCTTTTCAAACCATAGCACATCTTGGTAAGGTTGGGCCACAATAGAGGATCAAAGTTTCCAAGTGCAGATCCAGGAATTTTTTCCATTGGGGTGGGGGAAACTATGGAAGCTGGTAGTTGTCAGGTAGAAAATTTTTTTTATCTGGTGGCCACCACATAAATAACTGGCAGCTGCCAGATAAATAGATAAAATATGCTACCTGGCACTTACCGGCTTCCATAGGAAACGAATCGTGTCTCAATTTTTTAAGCCCCTCCCCACTTGAAAAGTGGAGGATATAAAGTGTTGGGGGTGTCTGTCCATATGTTCTTCCATCCGTGAACACTTGAGGGTAGCCATGTCTGCAATTTCTTTTATACGACTAAATAAAATTTAATGAGACTTTCACAGAATCTTTATTACACAGTGTCAGTGTGCACCTCCTACATTTCATATTTAGGTTTCCCCTAGCAAAACAAGGACACTGCCATTCTTTCTATAATATTGGGGGTACCATCTGCTATCCAAAACGATTCCTTTATCACTGAATAAATTTAATGAGACTTTCTCAGAATCTTTATACACACCGTAGAAGCACACAATTTCATGGGAATAAAATTTCATTGATTAGTCATCTAAAAAGGTTTTGTTGGCATTGAATTTCGTTGTTTCCAAAGTAACCCTATTCAATATTTAGTCATATAAAATTTTTATTGTGGGATTCAATTTTGTTGATAATTGTTAACAACGAAATAAACGAAATTTAATCCCTAATGGATATTTCTGCTTTTACAGTAGGATCAGTGTGCATCTCCCACTTCACAGTTTGATTGGACAGGTATTTTTGGGTTTCCAATAACAGAACATGGACATCCCCATTATACTCGTATGGGAGCAGCAGGTATCATTTTGTGAGCTCAGTACTCACAGTAATTCTAATTTTTTTTTATTAAAAAAATAATACCGTATTTGGCCGAATATAAAAGGCATTGATGTAAAATATGCACCCCCCTAAAATTATGGAATAAACTTGATTATAATAAAATGAGGCCCATGGGCCACATCACTCACCTAAGCACTTTGGTTAGAGTTTTTGTTTCATAGATGGGGGTGCAAGTTTAAATAGTATTAATTGAACTAATTAAATAACTCTGGAAATTCCAAGGGAATGTCCTGAGTTTATACAATTCTGGCACCCCTTCCCCCCAGCTAATTGCCTGGTTTTTAATGGTAATGCATACTATGCATTTTTTTTCTGTTAGTGTAGATTCAAATTTGTCCAAATAATGTTAAATGATTTTAGACCACACTGAAGCAGTGAAATTTTCATGGAATTTTAATTTGCAAACTATAATTTATCGATTAGTGCATTTTCGAAATTGTTTAAATCATGACCCCTAGGGGATACATGTAGCCTGGAGCCCCAGTAAGGGATGAATTCTTGCATCTCCTCAGGAAATGCAACTTAAGTCTCTTTTAATCATGACCTCTTGGTGGGTGGGTGAGATCGAGAGGAGAAAAGTTTTGCTCGGGAATTATTATTATGTATTCTAGGAACAGACATACAAGCATTTAATTACAAGCATCCCCATGCAAAATCTAGTAAAAGATGTAACTCGAACTGGGATTATCATTTTGTATTATTAAAATTAGGGTCGACGTGATCATCAACACAAAATGAATCCATGTAAAATGTAATGATAATTTGTCAGGTATTGAGAATTTCCCAACAATTCAACAAATATCGATTTTGCCAATGTGTGTTATTATATGTACACTTTGCTCTGCTCCTAATGCAGAATAGTATATCTCACGATCAGAAAATATAAAATATGCTTTCAACATATCTAAATATCTTACCCCATCGCCAGTGCTTTTATTCGGATGCAAAAATGTTTATTTCATTTTGAGATGCACTTAATGCACAGTGTAAAAAGCAAAATGTGCTCCTCATAAAAGTTCCATTTTATTGGGATTTATGAAATATATTTAAAATTATTTCAATCGATAACTATGATAGAGCAGGGTTAATATATATATTGATATTTGACCCCTTCTTTTTAAAAAAAAAAAAAAATGTGGTACTCAGTATTGCATGTACATTTTCCGTGGTTACCTTTTGCGATTATCCGGTGTAAAATTTAAAAGCAGGCCCTGTAGAACACAATAGTACCCCCCCCCCCCCCCCACACACACACACACTTTTTCTGAGTATAGTATTCAGGTATAGTAAATTTTCATTAAGTTGCTGGTCCCCCCCCCCCCCACTACTTTTTGTTGCTGTAAGGTCGAACACTTGCAAATTCCAGGATTTTGACATTTTTTTCCTTTGCTTGTGTGATTATTTTAGGAGGTTGAACCCCCTCCCAATTTTGAAACCGTTGCTATGGGCCTGAAAAGTGCTAAATGTTACAGGCTTTCGTACAGCAACATGATCTGTTAGTTATCACAAGAAATTAAACAAAAAGATCGACTAAGATATATTGGAATTTAAGTTTTATTGTTTGGAATCATCATTGGATATTTCTTGCCATTTTACCTCAAAATTTTCTTTTCTACAAAAATCATTTCTCTCTCTCTCTCTCTCACTCTCGCAAAAACAAAACAAAAACAACAACATATAAATAATAAAAGAGGTACAAATATATACGCATTTACAACAAATTGAATGGACCCTAACAAAAATTTACTCTAGTTAACTATAGTTTACTATAGTTAACTACAGTGAAAACTTTGATACTTTGATTTACTATGAAACTTTACTCTGGAACTTTTTTTTTTTTTTTTTTTTTTTTTTTTTTTTTTTTGAGATTTCAAAGCTCAAAATCTCTAAAATTCGATAACAGTAATGTAAAATTTGGAAATAATGTGTGAGTATACAAATAATATTTCAATTTAATATAAAAAATGTGCATGTATGAATTTAAGAACCAAAAAATATAACGAACTGGAATCCATAGTAAAAATACTTTGATTTAATATAGTGAAAAAACTTTGATACTAATGTTAACTATAGTACTTTTTTGTTAGGGGAAGAGCAGTATACGTGATTGTTTCAATTAAGAAGAACAGACTTGGTGAGAAATTTACACGGAGAATTAACTGTTTGTGATCGGCTGCAGCTAATTGTTTCCCGGATTTGGGGTGTGATAAAATTATATAAATTCTTCCCCGAATAATTAATATTCCAATTTGTGTTAAAACATATTATATTAGCTTGGATCGTGGATGATTTATTAATACAGGCAAATTTTACGGCAAATATACCCTATTAAGAGTTAAACACCTTCAGGAGCGCGGTGTAAAACTGGTACCTCCAACCGAATATTTCATTATTAAAAACAAACCTATTATCTCTTAGAAAAAATGGACTTTTTTGTATATCTATTATGATAATTATATATGTACTTTAGATATATACATGTATAATATGTAAGTGATTGTACATGTATGTACACTACATGTATATATACAGACCCTGCATAAAAAGGCAACAATCAAAAGTATTTCTGACAAACATTTATTTGGTAGACTTGCATGTTAAGAAAAATGACACTAGATAAAATTTACATGTACATACAATGGACATTTTATCTAAAAATTGCGATGTCCTTAATCAATGCTTTCTGCATAAGACTGCAATTTCTTCATAAACATGATAAAATCCTCTCAAAATAGAGGTACATGTATATTGCAACTTACAATGTAAAGGGGTCTTCTTTATTATTAAGTGATGAGAAATATAAATAATCATTGAGCAGACATTCACGTCATGCGTTCGCCAAACAGAACTCCTCGAATTATGCCGATTAAAAAAGGCTTGACTGTTGGGAACGTTTTCGTACATTTAAGTTTATTCCTGTAATTAAACAGAAGCCTCAAATTTTATGCATTAAATACCATTTCTCGTATCTTTTGAATGACACTGGACGGACATTTTCTTAATCTCACGAGTGTGGTTATGACAACTGACCAGTTTTAGTGGTCAAGTTTAAAAGCCCCCCAACAAAGGTACTGCAAAGAAATAAATGTATTCCTGGTCGAGTAAAAGGGCTTTTTAAATTCTTGACTGAAGGACATTTTAGCCTCGGAATGTCCAATATTAGATCGACAGAACGGGGAACATTTTTTGATGTAGAACAGGGAATTCAGAGTAAGTCATTTTATCGTTCTAATTACTTTGTCACTGACTGGAATTTAACGACCCTAGATACACAAAAATATTTTTGGGCATTGAGGAAATTATGTTTAAGGGTTAAATTTTTGGGCTTAATTATTTAATTTTCAACGTAGGGTACGAAATCACTGTATTTTTTAAAATACTTTAATAGGGGAAAATACATGCAAATAAAATGTTTCATATATTCATCATGGTCCTAAAAAATGCAATGATTAAAAATTGAGTAGTGTACTGTTTTCAATTATTTTATATCTTCGATGAAAGGGCAGATTACTCTCTCTGCATAAAAATACCACAGAATCAGAACTGTGCAGCCTTTCGAAGGTTCCTAATGTACGACGGTATTTTGTGTGGGAGGGACTTCTATATCATGTCTCATTAAAATCATTAAGCTAAAACTTGCTGTACAATCGGGAGTTCCAGAGCAGATTCAACACTGGGTCACTCAGATGACCTGTATTGCTACATTGTATCTGTTTTCGTCCATCGTCGCGCATTAATATTATCTGAACATATTTTCAGCTTA